GTCAACTATAGAAGTCCTGCAAACACAAGTTGCGACACTTAGTCGCCAGATTCAACAGCTTACTACGAACCGTCGTCGTCCTAGCCGCTCAAAATCACCCTGCGAACGTTCTAAGTCAAGCAACAGGCAGACTAGCTGTTGGTACCATCAGCGCTTTGGTACCGCAGCTCGTAATTGTGTCAAACCTTGCAACTTCGCAGAAGCAGGGAAGCCTCGGCCGGTCCGTAACGGCGACGGACGCGACCGGCCAACACCAAGTCGCCTCATCCGCGTTAGGGATTTAACTTCCGGCACCGAGTTTCTAGTCGACACCGGTGCCGAAGTTAGCGTTGTACCCCGTAGCCCAGATGAGGTCGTCTCACCATCGCCGACCAAGCTGCGTGCTGCCAATGGCACACCAATCGCAACTTTCGGCGAAAAGCTGCTAACGCTCAACTTAGGCCTCCGATGAACCTTTCACTGGCCTTTCATACTTGCTGCCGTGCCTTTCACCATCATAGCCATAGACTTTCTTCAACGTTTCAACCTCATCGTCGACGCTAAAAGGAAGAAGCTTATCGACTCTAGGACACAGCTCAGTGTTATTGGGACTAGCGCCAACGTGGCTGCTATCACCCAAATTCGTGTCCTACCTCAAGCTTCACAGCCTTGTATAGAACTTTTCAGCGAGCATCCTAAACTCTTTCGCGTCCTGAACGACTTGCCTCCTGTGACGTCAAACGTCATGCATCACATTTGCAATAAGGGCCCACCTGTTTTGGCCCGCCCTCGCAGACAAGCTCAAAACTGTTAAGGCGGAATTCGAGCAAATGCTCGAACTGGGTATCATCCGCCCGTCCAAAAATTCATGGGCAGCACCATTACACTAGGTACCGAAGAAATCCGGTGACTGGCGCCCCTGTGGTAACTACAGGGCACTTAAAAAAGTTACCTTCCCGGATAAGTATCCCATTCCGCACATGCACGACTTGACCACAGCTCTAGCTGGCAAGTCTATCTTTAGCAAAGTCGATTTAGTTCGCGCCTACCATCAGATACCTGTGGCGCCAGACAACATTGCTAAAACAGCAGTCATCACGCCATTCAGCCTATTCAATACTTCAGAATGTCTTTCGCCCTCAGCAACGCTGCCCAAACTTTTCAGCGTTTCATTCATGAGGTAACGCGTGGACTCGAAGGCGCTTATACTTATCTAGATGACGTTCTTATCGCCAGCTGTTCTGACGAAGAACATCTTCATCGCCTCGACGCACTCTTTCAACGCTTAACACGCATGGGATTACCATCAACCCCGATAAATGCGAGCTTGGCCAAAGTTCCATCAACTTTCTTGGCCACCGCATGTCCGTCTCTGGTATTGAAGCTCTGCCAGACAAAATCCAGGCACTGAAGGACTATCCTGCTCCCAGTTCCTTCAAACAGTTACGCCGATTCCTTGGCCTGGTCAACTATTATCGACGCATTATTCCTAACTGCGCGAGCATTGTTCAACCAATGACTGACTTGCTACGCGGTAAACAACGGTCTTTTCATTTTACAGACGACGCTAGACGGTCTTTCGAGAAGCTCAAAGACGCTATCTCCAACATAGCGCTTCTCGCTCATCCAGACACGTCTGCACCACTCTCCCTTACAACTGACGCCTCCGACACTGCCGTCGGTGCAGTTCTGCAACAACTCATCGACCATCGATGGATACCTCTAGGTTTCTTCTCGAAACGTTTACAATCTGCCGAATCGCGTTACAGCAGCTTCGGTAGGGAACTGTTAGCTATCTACCTAGGTATCCGAAATTTCCGTCACTATCTCGAAGGTCGACCCTTTACAGTCTTCACTGACCACAAGCCATTGATCTACGAAATCAATGGCGCAACAGACAAGTATTGTCCGCGGGAAACTAGACACCTAGTCTACGTTTCTCAGTTTACGACAGACGTACGACATGTCTTAGGTGCTCTCAATCCCGTCGCGGATGTGCTTTCACGCATTCAGCAGATCAGCTTACCGCCTGGCACCAACGTTGACCTAGACGCTATGGCTGCTGCTCAACAAGCTGATCCCAGTATCGACAAGCTTCGACGCAACACCACTGAGACGATCACCATTGATCGACTCAAGCCAGCATTCCTCGACAAGTCTGACTCTTCTGTGCAGCAAGCACCTTCACAGCCTGCGCCATCACAGCTAGCACCGCAACCTCAGAGGAGTCAGTCCGCTCCAGCAGAACGGACAACCTCAACCGACAGCACTCCTACTCGCCCTACACTCAATCGACGCGGTAGGAAGCTCAAACCTACAGTTCGTTTTTCGGATTTCGTTCGCACTCACTATTTTACATAAAATGTGCCTCCGAAATGTTCTGCTCTTACCAAAGGTTTTTGAAAATTCACAAAAAAAGACCAAAACGTCTTGAAACTAGCAAAAAAAGAGCAAAACCTTTTGAAAACCCCAAAACAGCTTTGTACGTTTTCACTTTGCGCTCTTTTGTGTATTGCTTTGCATTTATGCTGCTTTTTCATTTTGCTTTCCATATACACCGTCGGTTGGTTGCCCCTCGGTTTCACCTTTCGCTGGATCCCCGCACGTCAACTGGAAGTGGAACGAACTTCCTGTTCAACCGCCTACGTGAACTTTACTAACTGCCCCCCACAAACAGCTTTTTACCGTTTCGACACCGTAGGGAGGACACGGGTGGGAGCCCGCTAGGGTCCGATTGCATGGTTCTCCCCCAGCAGCTGCATCAGGTTTCATAACCTGGTCTCGCAGAAGGCTGGCCCGCGACGGACAGTCCTCACGTAGATCGAAGGACTGCTTACACAGTCCCTTCTGGGAGAGCGCTATGTAGCAGTCTGGAGATTCTCCGGTTTGCCTGTGTAAAATTCTAACCAAAATTATTTCATTGTACACCTAGGCAACCGGTGTGGTTTGTTGAACTGATTGCTGAGTTCGAATGCTTGACTTGCTCATCGCCATTTTTGCGTCGTGCTCGTTTCGGTTGCAACTCGCGGCTGACCTGTGTGCCGTGCTTGCTCCGTTCCCCTAGCTAGAGCGTCCACGTTGTCGTTCTTTTATAGCTAGCTAACAGGGAATCTTTTACTGTACCAATAAAAGTTTCTCTGCAACTCGATCTGTCTTCTCGAATCGCTCTCTGGGCTCCCGGTACAGGCGACCTTCTAAAGCAGTATCTTGAATTTTTCTCAAAAGATAGGCGGAGGACAGCAGCGGTGACCTTGAAAATAGCTTGACAAATAGCCATGTTGAGGTATTATGAGAACGCTAATTTTTCCATATCGATATTGTAAAATGTTGTTCACTGAGGACGGCACGACTGATTTAAAAGTCCCGCCTCGTTACCCCGTTAAGAGTAGAACAGTAGGGCGTCCTGACGTATAACCTTCGGCTGGGACACGACAATCATATCTGCGGATTGCCTCAGTAAATTCGTCATCAACAGGAAACTCACGTTAATTATTCAAGTCTGAGAAGGATATATGCATTCTATCCTTCGTTAAGTATAAAGCTGAAAAACAAGAGCAGTAACTTCAACTTGATCCGAAAAGTATGTTCCATGTATCCGAAACATGCTGTTACGTGGCAACAATTATCCTTGTCGATGAAAGTCGGTTGTCAAAGACTTAACACATTACAATTGATTCAACCTTTTGCATATCAACCTCGATACAGTGAATTTACTGGAGAATGTGGGTGTGCAGTTTGCTGGTTTATCAATTGTTTTAATGCCAGCATTGTTTCTTAATGAATGATAAAGGGTTAACGATGTCTTGGGCCCAGTTATCTCTATGTTCAACATGCGATTACGCAGTATCTGTCAAAATGACACCCATAAAATTTACTACGTCCAATTAGTTGAAATTGGGTCCACGTACGACAACCACCGTGTGTAACGTTCCGCTTAGACATGCAGAAGAGCAAACAGTATGCGTGGGCGTTCAAATCACACTAAATACTGCATTCGTTGAATATGTGGGAGCGAACGCGTGTCACATCAGTAGCTACAAATAAGGTGATGTCGCAGCTAGAAATATAAGCTCTGATGAAAGGCCACCTTGGGGCAAAATCCAATGCACTGCGTTGACCAACCATGAAGATAATTACGATGATAGATCTACTATTCACCTCAAACAGGGCTTCAAATTTACACTCTTGAGTTACGAATGTTAGCTATCCCTCTGGTTAGCACTCAGCATATCCAACAGTAATTGGACAAACAAACCTCTGTTATTCAGCGAACACCAGGTGGTTAGATTGTGGGCTGTGTAACATTTGAACCTTATGACGCAAGCTGAAACGCTGGCAGTTGTACATAGAATGATGCGAACCGAGCATTTGCTGATGTAAATACCAGTCAGGTGATTAGATTGGATTCATGAGGTTCCCTGTAGGGTAGAGCAATGCATAACCAGAGAATGACAAAAACATTCGTCCGTCTGTTAGTTAACGGAAATTAATCACTGTCATTGAAGCACATGCTAATCCAGGAGTCTGTGTATTTCTATCTAGAAGGCGTTACACGTATGAATTACCCATGTTTCATAGTCGACTATGAAACCAAGTGAACGACGTAAGCTTCATCGATATTTTTTGATGAGTCGAAGCATCGCGTTATCCATCGTTGATACACTTATTACAAGGTAAAGTGGATCTGTTTTCTTCAGGTTTCCCCCATATTTGATCGTTATTACTCTGCTTCATTTTTAGTTACATTTTGCTTACTGCGTATTATCCACATGGACAACCGTGTATCTTTCTCCGGTGACAGTCGGCAACCATTGATTATGCTCATCCCGTTTCCTGTCGTCCCCAATAGGCTCATATCCTTCTTCCATTGCTTGCAACACATGAGGTGGAACCTTGTGATTGCTAAATCAACTTGCTGCATGACGAAAGTTGGCGAACGCGGACTATGCTGATTGGTGCAACCGGACTGATACCCTACACCGGTCATGGTGTCAGTGTGGATGCACCAGTGTGTATGTCTGCGCCCGTGTGTGTTCCAGCTGAATTTAGTCGTGAGTGACATCTAACGGCTAGTCACTGATATTATAACATAGACGTGACAACACATGACAATCCTATGCTTGATACTGCGACCCATCCCACGCCAGGCCTTTTCAGACAGCTGACACAGAGCGAATCATCAACCCAATCTGATGTGCACGGCTTACACACAAATGGAAAAATTATGTGCGAATTTAACCTGTCTTTCTGCAAACAGAACTGACCAGATATCGGCAAATTACTCGGATTATTCGTTCGCTCAATGTGTGTACTGAGGAAATAAAAGGAACGCGTCGTAAACAATGCGTCAAATTGAACTTTTTAAGCTGACAGTTAACTTGCTTTCCGCACTATCTATAGTGAGTCTTTTGGTCCTATCTATCCCAACATGCCATTCGCGCTTTTCTTCGTTGGATAATGAAGCGGCTTTGTATGTGGACAAACCTGGCGCCTCACAAACCCCGTTGTATGCCACCACAAAGGATCGATCGTCTTCCAAACAACAAAAGCAGAATGTCGGTTCCGCAGATCAAAGTGGTATGTTGCATGGATGTCGATGGAGCTACACCAGTAATCAAGCGGACATAACTCGCCGACATCAGCGCACACTTTCAAACGTTGCTTCTGAGGTAAGACAACTAAAACATGAGAACCGTTAGTTTACATTGAATTGGGGTGGCAGCTGTTTTCGGGAGAATAAGATGATGAACTTATAAATCGATGGAAAATACTTGTGCCTAAATGTTTTCGCAAAATACCTTAACAATTCTTACCTGTTTTACACTGACAACTGAAGTTATTTTAGTTACCTACGGCTCAGTTATATAAAGTTATATATACATACGGTTAGAAAAATGCGATTCAGTGTCACACTTTATATTCAGTATATCACTTAGCTTTAATTCTGCAAACTAGATCCGATTAGATCACCAGAGATAGTTCATTAGAAGTACAAATCCTATTCGCACAGTTTCGAATCTCGTGGTTTTTTGTAACTTATGCGATAACTTATGCAATGATTCGCCAGGGTTGAGACGGCCCATTTATTGGATTTCACAACTAGTGGTTACAGCCAGGAAGGAGCCAGGGACTCCACTACGATAGAATTAACTTTTCGCCCATATGTATTTTTTGTCATTTGGGTGCCGATTCACACGGTCCTCATCGGCATAGACCTTTGTTTACTTGAATGAATCGTTTTCACTTAGACTTTATGTGTGAACGTCAATGCTCTTTGAGTACCTAAAATGCCGACCTTTATGCGTCAAACTGATCGAAGTACTCAGTCCGATGGATAATTGAGCGAAATTTTCAGGCTTTAATTGATACCAACTTAACTGTGTGGACCGCTGAGTCGCCAAGAGAAACGACCTACGATAAAGTAATTTTGCTTTGGTGGGATTGCGGAACAAAGGAGATAAGTGGAAACAGCTCCATTGTTCTGTGCGACGCACTGGTGAATTTCTGGTCATTTACATCTAAAAATGAAGATCATTTGGCTAAAATCGGGAAAAATAAATATTCCTATTCATATCGATGCGGGTTATGTAAACCAAATCCATAAATATGACCGCCCTCCATTTGGGATTTTGTTAAGATTAAAATCTTGATTATTGTTTGGCTAAATAATCACAGGTAATATTTAGGGGTAAATGCATAGGGTTTCCTTGTCAATGCTATTAGTTAAAATTTTTAAGACCAGGGATGGTTTACTGCCGTCATCATCAACCTAAGCCATTCGTTAGGTGATGTCTGGCTGTGAGTCTAGTAACTACTTACAACTCTTGGCCCAAAAGGTCACCTTCGGAGGCAAGATCGACATAGAAGGTCACCTCACGTAAGATGTGAAGCATTACTTATTTCAATCCTTTACAATTAACCGATCCTAGGTCGATAAACGAGAATTTTGCGCTTGAAGGATTTACTCTGACGTCTGTCTTTTGAATTCATCCAAATACATATCTTACTTTCGTCTACATTTTTACAGAATACTCAGAATGTCCTGTATGTTTAAGTTCTCAGCGACAGATCAGAGGCGTATTCTTTTTCAAGCCTAGTAATCATTGTAAAGAAATGCGGATTGAATTTTTGGCCTCCAGACGGTTTGTATTCGAACCCGGCCGCTGGGTACACAAATGTTTCATCAAAAAGCTTAAAGACATGCAGGCCAGTGCTGTTGATTATACTCACCAAAAACAATAAAGTATTTCACATGGTTCTTATCTTGTGAGCGCAATACATTCATGATGTCGTTCTATTAGTCCACCAAACATCGTTACAGTCAAATGAAACCAAACTTCTCCAGCTTAGTAAAGCCATCCTTTGTCAATACTTAACCACAGACACACATTTCGGAGGCGCCATGGCATGTATCATAGGTTGGTTGCTTTGGTCATATAAGCCAACTGTTTGAAAGATCTTCGTTTTGTTCTTGGGATCTGCATTTCTTCACTAAAATGTTTCAGTATTCTGACAAAACACTACTTGTTACTAGGAGATGCTTTGCGCAAGACACACAGTGCTAATACTTATTTATGTGATCTGAGTAGCGGAATAATTTGCATCAGTTCCAGCTTGCACTATTTACTTAACATGGAGTCGATGAATGCTGGATTAAATGATCAAAGCAACAGCAATACGGCGTGGATAAATTTGATGTAACTTCGCTAACACAATGCAACAACTAGCCATATGTAGGCCAGGTTGATGTCATGTACTAGATCCACTAAATCGGAATCATGACTTAGACAACCGAAACTTGGTGGAGATTACTTGGATGGACTCACTTCCCAAAGACAGGTGTGTACCAAATAGAACGTCAAATTAGTTTGGCTTAAGGGACCCTTAGAAGACTCCGTTGGTACTAAAAGCCTAAACCGCAAGGCAGCTGGGCGATTAACCTATATCGCGAACCGTTGGTTATTGGCTGTTAGTGTAACACGAGTTTCGCGAAACAGCAATCTACTTAAGGCATAGCCAGTGCGAATAGGGCAACACACTGGTAAGGAAAGGTTTTTAGGACCACCGAGCTATTGACCAGACACAAAGACCTTTGGTTGCCAGGTGGCTTATGCACCGTTGACTATCGAGATTGTTCATCCCTTTCCCGTTATTTACTTATTTTTGGTAGCAAAGGTTTGTGGACGGTGATCTTACAGTTCACCAAATTATTTTATACACGGTGTAACGCGAGTAATGTGATATTTAATAAGGGAGCAGATGACCGGCCCAGAACTTTCCGGAATTCAAAGATGCTAGCGCGAATTTTCGGCCATTGCTACCTCATCTCGTCTATGAACATCTAAAGCTTATTCGCAGTTACACCCACAAGAATGCTACCCACGATCCGCAGCCTAAGTACACGCACGGTAACGTACTGTCGCTGACACAGTCACATATCGGTTGACTTCCGGGGATTAACTAAAAGCTGCTGAGGAACAGTTTCCAGGACCGCTCAGACAGCCAAGCGCTACCTAAATTATTTAGTCCAAACAACTGGTCGTAACTACTGAATCACATAGAAAAGACTATTGCTTAATTTTGGGACCTGCTTATGTGTGCTTATGAGTGAGCAAAAACTATGCCATACTCATTTCACATTAGGTAATGTTTCTTTTTAATATTGCCTATTGCTTCACTTGTACTGTCCGTGCCAATCAACTTTATGTCCCCCGAGTTTCTGTCGACAATTGTTACATAATGGGTACTATTTGTGACCAAAATATATCAAATATTGTGATAGCCGAATCCGGTGGTGAATGGCGTCCACCTGACCGTGGCGCCCAGGGCCCAAAGGTCAGCTGTTAAGTGTGAAACATGGTGCTTTGCGTAAAAGAAAATAGAACACGGACGCGTCATTTGCATGTTGCTATGACACCACATGTCTGCAAACAATCGACTCGTTAACTAGGCCGCATCCAGGTTAGCTGAGACGACCAAAGAAGTCAAAGGTCTACGTGATCAAGACATGTGTGCAGTCTGGATGATGGTTCGTCTACACGCCATGGTGTGGTTATTGAAGCGGACTTTCGATGCGTCAAGCTGTGCCACCCAGCTTTTCGGACGTTTAAGTGAGACAAAACAACATTTTTCAAAGTATTTTTATTCGTCTTGCATTAAGACTTAATTCAACGCTATAAAATTTTAAGCCTTAATTAGATACTTTTATCGTCATTAAAATGTCAGCGTAACATCGACTTTTGCAGTCGTGTGGTAGCTTTACAGTTCTAAAAGGAGATGGTGAACAAAATATCTTAAATTTACCTACCTAAACAGTTGTGGTGGATAGCATTTCACTTGTCATTTTGGGGGTAAGAGTGCTACTGGAACCGTAGCTAGACCGCAGGATTCTATGCCCGCGAAGCGGAAACGTGCAAGTGTATACAAAGACGCAGTGTAAATCGCTGTGGTAGGGAATCCACGATTATTCTACTTCTGTCTTGCATTCCGTCGTTAAACATGGTATGTGAATCCACTTCTCACTGTTGCTAACAGCACAGACTGTCAGTACGTAAATTGTGCATCTGCACCCGTTTTGAGTCATTAACATCCATTAGAAAACCAAGATCCCCTTTAAGGAAAACAGATTTCTCCGTAACTTTCTCAGGGTGATCCTTAACGCTATCTAATTGCATCCAACAGATGCAGATGATTCTAACATGTGTGTACTGTCCGCTGAGTGACCGATTGTAATTCAGCCGATGGTATGAAACTTGAGTGCACAGGGTGGAGTGCTACTAGATTATTTTCTATTTGCCACTCAACGGACGGCAGAATTTAACTGGGTTCACACCAGCTGGATACCAGTTGACAGCGTTAAGGACCATCTTGTGAGATGTATGATGGAACAGGATTTCTTTGAAGGGGATTTGAAGGCGCCATACATGTGAATGAAAGAAGAGAATAGTGGCCTAATTTGGTGGTTGTTTAACTATATTGTTGTGTTTGTGACCAAGGAAACATTTAAGCCGAAGGTATACGAGACCGAAGGATAGAATGTAATTATTCACTACTTAACTCCTTCTCATTGGCAATTTGTTTTGTCCACAACATTGGCCTCTACTTTTCAACCAAATGGCAGAATCGCACGAACAGAACAGTGTGCAGTGCACATATTATTTAGGCAAATTACTCGGGAATAAGTTATTTGACAGCACCGGTTCAAGAAAACAAATAGGCTGCAACATCACGGATGAGATATTCCTTTGATAGCATTAGTGGGGGATTCAGCGTTACAGGTTAGATATTCATCTTCTCTAGTTTGATCCATCTTTGCTGCACATATTGTATAGGAATAGGATTGAACCACATGTATGGGTTTGGCTGTTCAGAGGATGGGCAGCGACGACGGGATTTACTTCTTCTCGTTTGAATGTTAGCCATGAAAGCTGTACTGTTTGGATAAACTTCTTTTGGATGCAGAGGTTCGAGCTTGCCAATCGGATTCTTGCCGCTTCAGCGGCAGCAAGCAGCCGTACCCCCAAACGACGCTTTAGTTTTGATAGCACCGTGTACAGCATTTCGTACACCTCACCATTGCCAATTCACTGTCCATTGCTGATAAGATGGTCATTTGTTACAATTAAATTGTTTCTATCCCGTTAGTTGTTGAGTGAATTCGGCAGATGTC